CCTGTTTCCCTTTGTGTTTGTTTTCTTTAAAGTGGACTAAGGAAGGCAATGCATTTCGAGTATTGGAATTCTTAACCATCACCAGACAAACTCGTGTTAATGGGGGCTGAGGAGAAAACGTCCATTCTAATCTATAAGATTGTACCATCTTCAACAGCGTGGAGTTTCAATTATTTGGATATGCATATTGAGTGTGGCTTGTTCCAACAGTCTCTTCTTTATTAAATAATATTTATAAATCTATATATATTGAAAAAGAGAGGTCAATAAATCATTTAGGGAAAGTTTTAAGAAATTGGTCAACAAGTGTTTGACTTCCCATTTGTGGAAAGTCTTTAAAAAATTCAAAAATGATTAAATTTTACTCTTGATTTTCTTTTTGTTTCAAATCATTCCAAAAAGCTACCATTTGATTGTTCCGATTTTTTTTCACTGCTCCATAAGGTGTGAGTCCGAAATTTAAAAATCCGTCCAATTTGAATTTGAATGGAATTTCATATTTTACGTGAGATCAATTTCAACATGGTTCCATAATTATCATCAACTAAAAGTCCTAAAATGGTGGGTCTTTCATTCGGCAAGTTTGTGATAATTCTTAACAACCAAATCGGGTATCATTAAATGCACCCTACAATGGTGGGTTTTGTTTAATTTATTTTAGAAAATTTTGGGTAAAGTTGATTTAGTTTTTAAAATAAAAATCTTTTCTCATTTTTTAAATGAGATTGCATTCAAAAAATCCTTAAATTAAGGAGTTTGTTCAATGTTGATTTAGTTCCTAATTAAAAATCCTTTCTCTCTTGGAATCGAGCTGCATGAAAAAAATCCTAAAATGTAGGAGTTTGTTCAAAGAAATCGTCTAGATAACCCAATTGCAGACGGCTCCGATTTATGCATTTCATCTTTTGTGGCTGCATTTCCTGATTTTTGTGGAATCTGCCGAAAAAAGATTACTTTATATCAACTAATTAAATAATTAAATAATAACTTTCCAAATTTAATGAGACTAGGACTCTGAAGTTAATTGTCGTAGCATTCACATTTACAAGCCAATTTAACATATCAATATCAATATTCGAATAAAAAGGGGAAATCCTATGCAATCCGATTTTTATTCGTTTTCCATAATTTTCTTGGAATCAAATTGAAAGATTTTGCCACTTTACATATCAGATTTAATTCACCCCTATTTTGAAAGAGAATAAAAAAAATATTATTATAAATTAATACAGATTATTCGAATCCTATATAAAAATTAATTCCTTATAGAAATAACTTAATTGTTAATGATAAAAATAAATCCTAAATGAAAATAAAATCTGAATATGCTAATTTCCTATTACCTTTGGACTCTTATACCCGATTCTAAGGCTATTAAATTAAGAAAAGATGAGATAGATATATCTCAATCTAATATTCTTTATTCCTTAACAGAAACAGATTTTCACGATGAGATTTAATCAAATCTAAATATTCTTTATTCCTTCAACAGAGATAGATTTCCACTATATATACGTTTCCTCTAGGTTATATTCATTCGTTTTACAACCACCCATGTTTAAGTCCAATCTTTGCTTTTTCTTCTTCTATCTATTGTGTTTTTAGACCTGCACGGGTATTCTATTAATCCATCTCAATGATTTCTTTCAACAGCATCAAGAAATCACAATATATACAGCAGCAAAAAATCAACCACACCTAGAGTCATGGATAAAGCATATGGTGCAGGCAGAAGTCAAGCAAGCCTAACGAAAGAAGGCGAAAGGAGAAAGACACAATCTAATCTAGATGAAGGTAATGTTCTTGAAACTTAAATTATAAATTTATATTTTTGAACCTGTGAACTTAGAGTATTTCAACATATAAACCTTTTTAGATTCTATATAGATTGACTATTTGCTGCTATGAACTTATACTTATATTTTGCTGCAGTGAACCTATATTCCATTACAATCTAATACACATTCTATTCTAATGTTTTGTGACGATGCTATGATTCAAAAGCAATACACATAAAAAGATAATAATACCTTTTTTTCTGCAGTTATCTACATTTGCTGAAACACTTGGTTCCACTCATTCATTGTTTGTCCAACTCCCATGTCATGCATCATTACAGAAAATGTTTACATAAAGCATAGACTTAAGAATATAAAAATTAAGTAAGCAAAATTACTTAATTAGACAAACTGAACTGATTTTTTTTGTTATAGTACACAATGCATGAAATCAAAACAATCTGTTTTGTGTAGTATTCATGCAGCACTATATGCAAACTCATATTAATCTTCGAAATGTTAAACACACAATTAGAGTGACACCTAAAATACTGTTATATTCATTACAAACTACAATAATATATTTTGTTTAGTAGTTTAGCAGAAACTACATTGTGTTAATATAATTTTTTTACAAGTCATTAGATAGTCCAACTCATCTATTCATGTGTGTTGTGAGTTTTTACCTTTATATTGTTGCCATATACTGAATCTCGGGTATATGTTATCTGCCGAACTCGATCATAATAGACATGTATACAAAACAAATAATTTAGGATTAATATTAGTATTCATGATAAAACAGAACTAAACAAATTTTGTTTTGTGATTATTCTAGGATTGAAAATCAATACACATCAAAAATCTAAAAGAACCTTTTACCCTTGGGGTCATATGCACAGTTGCTGAAGAAACTTGGTTGTCCTCATTGTTGACTGTTTATTGTTTGTTCGTCTTTCATATCATGCATAATTATAGAAAATGTTTAGATTAAACATAGTTTGTGCAAATAAATGAACACTAAGTAATGAATTCCAAAGCTTACCTTTTTCACTTTCTTTGCCAGCCTTCTCTAGACCAAGTATTCATCTCTGAATATTCGAACAACAAGCAAATATATCTGAAAGAAAGTCATTTTAACATAAATTAGATAAAGGAAAATAATAACTCTTAACGATGCTTTATTTATCAAAAACATGTAGTGAAATTATAAATTGGAACTAAAACTGATATATCCTAATAGATTTCTATGAAATTTTTAAAAAACTCATGAGATTCGTATCAATTGTTTTCAAGAAATAGTCAGTTTTTTCAAATTTTGAACTTAGACATTAACATTCAAAAAGAAGATTTTAATACACGACCATATCTTTCGCTAACATTAGATCCTTAGATACAACTTCTCGAAAAATAGCAATGAAAAGTCAATTACATATTTTCGAACAATAAGCTTCATCAGATCCAAAAGAAAAGCGTGTTCTTTCGTCGGATCTGAAAGAAAAGAGTTTCCTTTCTGCGGATCTGAAAGAGATCTGAAATATAATCGTATTCAAAGTCGGATATGAAACAAATGTGTGTTCTTTCCTCGGATCTGAAAGAACAACTGTCTTCTTTCATTGAAAACAAGGTAAAAAACGGGACCTCATTTGTTTGACTGAAACATAAAGATTCAAAATAAAAAACAAGATCACAACATGGAGGAAAAGAATCAAACTCACAAGGAAAAATTACATTTTTGGTTACATGCAGGACCAAATGGAGGAAGCTTGATTCCTCATCAAGGTGGACTTTCATTTTTGCAGAGTGAAGTGGCGCATAAAAAATGAAAATAAACCCATGTGGGTGGGTGATATCAGCCATTTTAATGTTTCGATTTTTTATTTGTTTGTTGGGCCAAATGAATTAATATCAGAATTTTTGGGGCCGAGTAACAAGTGAATTTGTTTGTTGTTTGGCCTTCATGTATAAGGCCCTCCAAGCTGATATGACATTGATGTACCATTAAATTTATATTACTTAATAAAAATAGTTAGATAAATTTTCTAACATAAAATTATTGTTTGCATTAATAATCTAAATAATTTTACATACAGTTAGTTGATTTTTGTTAAAATAATTTTATTTGTGCTGACAATAATTGTTAAATAATAAAAATGCTTTTTATTTATTTTTACAGAAAATATAACGAGTAATCATCCTGCAGTTCAAAATAAAGGGAAACCGGCAGATATTTTGCAGATTCAAGGACATTTATCGTTATTAGACATCACAAATGGTAACTTTTTTTCCTATTGTAGTGTTTGGACCTACAAATTCATGTACCCTTGGCAATACTCTCTATTCTAAAATTTGGAGTAAGAATTTTATATTTGAATCTCTTACAATTATATAAATACTAATACTAATACTTATCATTTTTTTGCAACAAAAGCTAATTGTGTTTGGCGTTTTAAATTACAGGTACTATACAATCATAGCACGGTCCTAGATCGGCATTGAATATTCCACGATATAACACCGCATATTCCACCTGTATGTCAAACGCTTCAATGGTAGCATAATTGGTTAATTCTACCAATTTTATTTAATATCACATTATAGCTTATTGTAATTTGAAGTCATCATTCTTTATTTTAATTAATTTTATTTTTTTTCCAACCACTAGGTCAACAGATGTCTCATGGGAAAGCTCTAAACTGTTCCACGAGTTTTGCAGTAGAAACAAGTATAATAGACCTTACAAGTGATGATGAGGATGAATTAACAATTATTCCTCGAAATACATTTGAACAATGAAAACATAGTAAGATTGTAACTTCTGGACTTATGCGTGAAAACAATAATTTTTTAAACTGGGTAACTCATGTAGTAAGATAGTAAGTTTTAAAAGAACCATTTTTTAACTCTTTTATAAATGTATTTCTTTTGATAAATAACTGTTGGGGTCAATGCCCCAACACAGCCTAAAGATACCAACAGTACAAGTGTTGTTATTGATCTGACTCATGAGTCTCAAATGCCATCCACAAACGTTAAAAGAAAACGTGGTCGTCCAAGAAAAATTCAAGGACCGATATCCAAATAGAACTTCGGGTCATGTTGTTTCGAAAATTGACCATTCGATGGGTCTGTGCAACGGCACACGTTTGGTTGTTACGAAGCTCTCTCGGCATGTTCTTTAAGTTCCAGCAGATACAATTTTTCCTTATCGTTTTCTATGCCATGACCATAATAACTTATTGATTAATGACCTTCATTTTATTAAATTTTTCCAAAATATGTTCAGCTCGTGCATCGCACGGGTAACGTACTAGTTACAAATATGGAATCAGTATATAATACAATTTACTTGTATTAAGTTATTTAAAATGTTATATAAAATTTAAATTATGCAAAATTATATAAAACATGTCTATTTACAATTAGTACACAATCCATATGGTGAACATAACTTATAATAAATTACAATATATTCATATTCATTTAAAAGTAAGTGTCATTTTAAAGTTTTTATTCAGAAATTCAATTTAAGTACAATGTGGATCCATAAAATAATTATTTTGATAAAATTTTATCATATATTTAAAAATCTTTGTGAATAAAATAAGTGTATTACTAAAACATATATTGTTTCATTAATTAAAATAAATTTACTTTTGTATAAACTATCCAAATAAAAGAATTTAATTAGTTGAGTAATTTATTAAGCTATAAATAATTTACTATTCTATTTACGTCCAAGTTAATACTAACTCGTAAGTTATGAATAATTACTTATTTGAATTTTAAATTTGGAATCTAAATTTAGACTACACAATAAACCCTCTTATATATTTTAAGTATATCTATTTCTTACTAATCTCAAAATTTTTTAGATTTGTTGTCGGTTACTTCTTCGTTCAAATTTATCAACTAATCTCTAGAATTAAATTACAAATTTTATTAACAAGTATTTGTTCAAAGATCTTTCTAATTTTCAAAAGGAATATATACCAATTTGCCGAATTAACATCAATATCTTATGGCAAGTTATATGAGAATATGCTAAAATTTGAGAATCATATCACCTTGATTTTATAACAAATCAAACTAAAATTCGACTTTCATACTCATTTTAAATAAAATTCATACTACTTATTTTATTTTCAAAATTTCCAAATACATTTCTATCTATACCAAATAAACTTAATACCATTTAAATTCGAAAAACGCACCTTTTCGTCAGCCATTTTCTCGCCGGAAATCACTTGGTAGAGAGGATTTTACAATTTTTTGAAGGCAGTCCGGCCGGTTTCGTTGGCCGGTCGGCCGAAAAACGCACCTTTTCCTCAGTCATTTTCTCGCCGAAAATCGTCTGATAGAGATAATTTTACAATTTTTTGAAATTTTTGGAAAAATAACAGGGACAAAATGGTCTAGGAGGGCGATACATAGTAACAGGGGCAGTAAATAGTAATATCATTTTTTCCCTAGTCATTTCACAATATATTTGTTTTTTTTTATTATTATTACTTTTTTTTCATGAAAATGGCCCTAAAAATTGATAAACAAAAGACAGACAGTCCCAAACCACGAATACAATTCACTCAAAACTTATTCTCTGCGAGCATGACTTCAGGTGAATCCCTAAAAACCATTTTTGACGCCCGCTCTCGGTCCCGCCGCTGAGTCCGACGCTGCAATTTCCGATAGGTGTCCTCAACCCATCCGACTTCTTTCTGTGTAATTCCGAATTTTCTAATGTCAATGTTCCGTTCACAATGTTTGGCCCCTGAAAGAAATCACGGAGAATCTTGTAAAAATATATTGTAGTTTCAATACTAGGCATTCTTCCTTCGTCTGAAAAATAAAAAACTAAAAAAAATTGATTGGGCTAAGCGCACAAACGTGTGGAAATTGGTCCGCATGACCTTCTCCACACAAAATATTGGCTAACTAACATTTGACTCAAATTTTACAATAAAGTTTAATAAGTAATCATATTAAATAGACATTTCCTAATATACCCTAACAGAAGATATACCAACCCTAAACCTAATTCTTCTTCCTTCGCCACCCAATTTATAGTCTTCCTCCCTGCTCATTTGCTCTCTCGCGCCCGACCTATCTCGACCTCTCTCTCGCCGTCAGTTTCTGTACGGATTTTTTTTGAAAATTTGAAAGATTTTAGTCAGGCTCTGGCTGACATGTATCTGTATCTGTGATTTATAATATAAATATATATATATATATATTTTTTTTTCCTGATGAGGATGAGAATGATATAGCAAATGTGGTTCTACTTGATGCATCAATGGAGTGGAACATAATAAAACCTGGAATTAATTTGTTGGTGCCTTGGTGGTATTTTTTAATTTTATTTTTACTATGATGCTTATGTGTTATTCATCATTACAATATCCAGATCAATACCTTCTTGAGGAATATTTGTTTTCCAGTGATTGTTCTGTTCTTTCCTTCCGAGAAAGAAAATAAGATGCCATCTCCTGTGGATCTTCCCAGGAAATGTAACTTCAATTTTTTGTTCTGAACAAGTGAACATGCAATTCCTAAATTCCTTTGTGTCATTTTGTTTTTTCTGTAATTGATGTACATATTATATAGTGGTTAGCTTATTCTAAACAACTTTTGTCTATTTCTTTTGAGTTTCATGTTAGACAGAATTTAAGATCAGGATGGGAATCCCATTTTGATTTTTGTCATGTCTACTTACATATTGATAATAATCTAAGCAATTTATATATTTCATTTGAGATCAATTGCTAATGTTTTTTTCTTTTGGATTTGTTAAATGGAGATACAAATTTCTAATTCAATTTGTAAGTGCTTAAACCTGTTCTTAGCACAACTTTGTATAAAAGCTTTGATGAAATCTTGGTTTGATTAGTTCCACGGTGGGCTCTCTAAAATTCTGAACAATTGCAGAGAATTATTGTTTAATGCCTGAGAGATTCCCTTTTCCTTGGCAATTTCTGCCGCATGATGTTGATTTTTCCCATCAACTTTAAATCTGCCTTTGATTATTGGAAGTCAATGATTTCTTTGTCATTTTACTTGTTTGTGTACTGTAGTGTTATTATTATTCACTTTGTACACTTACGTGCACTATTCTTGTCTCTGCACCAATTGACCTTTTTCCTCAACCTTGGAATCTCTTGGAGTTTTTAACTGAATTCCTTGTATAGTGTTTAATGTAGTTTTGTGACTTTATTACATTATTTCAACAATAATTGATGTCTGTAGTACTGCTTAATTTCTTAATCATTTGCATGTGATTGATGTAACATATTACTAATTTATAGTTCCTAAATATTGTTACACAACCATTGGATTTGAATTTCTACTACACGATTATCGTTTTATGATTTATGTTGTCTTTTGTTTGTACTTTTAGGAACCAAAAATGGAGTATGCGTTCGATATACCTTCTACATGCTCATGAGTCCCGACCAATAGATGCATCCTCAAGGTTGTCAATGATGTATTGACAACCTAGATGATGCACATAAAGATCTATTTTTAAATTCTTGCATTCGCCCACTAGTGCACATTCCCAACTTGAAATTGTCATCTCAAATAATCCACCAGCTTCTTCGGAGGACCTTGAAATCATAAATATGTCGTGTGGTTCAAATTTGGAGAAAATGAAGCGAGATTCGGGTTACAAAAATTTTCGCTTATAACCGGATTAAAGATTGTGGATGATGTGGCTACGTACGAGTTTCCAAAAAAAGGAGTTTGCTTTTGCATCTATTCAAGAGAAGCGAGGGAAGATCACAGGGAATGACTTGCTTGTGGAATTTAATAATTTGGATAAGAAGAAAGATGCAAAGTTGAAATACAAATTGGGACTTCTCTCGGTCGTTGAGCATGTTGTTTTGTTTACAGAGTGCGAGACTCTTGTAGATGAAATATGGTTTCATTTGATTGAAGATTTGGAGCAGTTTAATAGCTTGGGGGAACTTATCGTATGAGTACACCGTAAAGTTGTTCACGCCGAACACTTTCAGTAATAAAAAAAAGTTCAAAGTCGTAAACGTATTCTCTGCATGGATTTTCCCATGGTATTTTTCATATAAATATATATTTATGCTATTTCTTATTTATTTATGTTAGTTGTATTCTTAATTTTGTTTTCTTGTTTGCTAAGCAGGTTTGGGCATTTGAGGCACCTAGGAAGACAATGAGCTAAAAATTGTGGTAGTGGCCGACTACTGAGAATGATTTTTTGGAAAATGGATAAACAGTTGCGAAACGAGCAGCTTAGTATGTTTTTCAACATGTCGGAGGTAATTTTGATTATAGATAATTCATCTTATTTATTCTTATACTTTTGGAAAAACTAATTATATTACAATCAATTAGGTTCAATTTCAACGAACGTTAGAACCTTCAAGAAGTTGAAACTTCATACTTGAAGAATTCGGGAAGAAGAAAATGTGTCTCAAGATGAGGAAGAAGAAGGCAATATATCTAAAGTTAAGGATGAGGATGAGGATGAGGATGAGGAAGAAGAAGAAAATGATGCATCTCAATCTGATCCACCACAACCGCAAGTTTTGGATGCTGAAAAGATTGCAACTATAGTGAGGGGATGTCATGAACGACGAGATGAAAGTGTTTTCGGAGCAAATGGAGATGAAGATGAACAACATTTTTGACAGAATAAAAATTGTAGTTTTTCCAGTAAAAGATAGTCCATCTACCCCTGCTACTTATGACGTGACAAATGTTGATCAAGAGGTTGATGCGGAGAATAATGTGCGGGATACGGAGACCACTCGAACATTAGATTGAGTTGAATGCGTTGAAGGTATTTTTTTTAAAATCAATTTATCATATTAATGTTATTACTCGATTATTAGTCAAAATAAACACAACAAGTTATTATAATATTTTTTTAGTTAAAGATATATTTTAAAACAAATGTAAATTACTTAATTTTTTTTTCTTTTGTAGACATGATCATTTCACCATCTCCTATGTCCGACAAAGAAATGGTTGGACTTCATGATGACGTGGGCTTGGAGATGAGAGCCAAAGATGATGTTGTCTTGGTTGAAGACTATTTTTCTGAGGAGTATGTCTCATCAATAACATCTGACAAGAATGAACATGGATTTGATACTAGTATGTAAATTATAATTGTAATTATACGTAATTTGATAGTTCATTCTTGTAAATAAATGAGTATTTATTTTTTTCTTGCTTATTGTAGGTGTTGTGATCAACCCGTCATCAGCCATCGTTGTGTTCTAAGAAAGACAAATCTCGGCACCTATGGAGATCAAGAAAACCGTTGAAGATGATATACTTGGGTTTCCCTTGGAAGAGGGCACCGAAAGAAAAGAAAGGTCACCGTTCTACATACTCCGTGGAGGAATCTTGAAAAAAAGAAAAAAAATTCCAACTGTGACGGGGTACGACCCTTATAGGCTAGTGGATCCAGCTAAATTTGAAGATCTAAATACGTGGTTATCGAGCTCCCCTGAAAGGTATGTATTTGTGATAAGTTAATTGTTGGCTATTTATTGTAATATATAAAGTTGTCTTTGTTTAATATACTGAGTTTATATATAGTGTTGAAGTTGACTTATCTTGAGGATAACACGGAAAGAATTCTTTTATAAACTTCTGAACGGTGATGGCTATCTAGTGAGTTAAACTATTTAAAAAAATTTATTCGATATTTTACTCCTCTAAACATAATATTTATTAATCTAATAAATATTATATTCTTAGCATGTAGATGCTATCCTTTCTCATATTCGATAGCGTGCTATAGAGTTCCTTCTCTTGTTTAGAGAAGATTGTGTCATCTTAAACTCGCATTTCGTCTCTTATGTGAGAATGTTCTTTAGAGAGAGGTCAAAGACTCAAAGTTTTGATAAAAAATTTCCAAGGGCCTTAGATAATTACGCCAAGGGATTGTACCAACTCATGGAAAACCGTGGACTTGTTATACTAAATTATATGTTCCTTTTTGCAATGAGAACAATGACCATTGGCTAGCACTCGAGATTGATCTTTCCGGCAGATCCATTTACGCATATGATATTCAACAAGTGTTATGCGGAAGCCACAATTTGATAAGGAACTGGAGCCCATTCGAGTTTGTGGTACCGATCCTAATGAGGAGAACACATAAAAAAAATAAAAAAAAATACAACAATCAAAATATAATTTGAAGGCTTAACAACTTGCTTCATTGCATTGGAAGAAACATAAAAAATAATACAAAAGTCTAAATATAACTTCAATGCTTAGCAACTCACTTGATTGCATTGGAAAATATTTGAAAAGCAATACACTATTTAAAATATAACTTCAAGTCGCTTGATTGAGGTTAATCTCCTCACACCTTCCACGAGTATGTCCGACTTTAATTTGAACACCTACTACATTTACGCATTTGACGAGGTTTAGTAGTTGATTTTGTTCGAGGTTCATCTGTTGATTTTTTCCATTCGAAAGGCCTGCCCTTTGGACGTCATGACAGTGGCGGCAACACGATTCTTGACATAATTTGTTCTGAAAGCATTCAATCGGTCTCATTGGGCAAAGGGTGAATGGGTTCAGAGTATGTATCTCTCCAACAAGAGCTCGAATACATTATAGTGCAGAATTTGTAGTCGTTGTCATACACAAATCTTATCGCGGCAATGACATGTGCATTTGGAAACTGATCCATTTCAAACTTTCGGCATGTGCATAACCCTTACTCGAGATCAACTACATGTCTTCCACCAACTTGCAAAATCATCGGAGTTACATGGACCACTTTTCGTCCATTGGACTCGTCGTATCTATTGCGCATCTTCTACTCAAATGGTGGGGGTAAGAAAGCTACTGCATTTTGTAGAACTAAGATATCATTCGTTGAACCACTTTTGCAATATCGCCCTGATATATTCAATTAGACAAAGGATAGGAATTTCTCGAGCACGCTTCAAAACAGAGTTTAACAATTCAGCATTGTTTGTTGTCATTATGTTGAAACGAATTGCTCTAAAATGTGCTCTAGCCCAACGATGCAAATCAGCACTCTCTACGTATGCTTGCATTTCATCATGCTTATTGCATAATGCTATTATGTTGTATTCGAAATGAGGTATTGTGTATGCTTTGGCTGTTGCCCAAAACAATACATCTAATTTCAATCTTGGAAACACAGATTTTATGTTTCTCACCAAGTGATAGTTACAATATCCATGATGTGCATGTTGAAACACTTTTATCAAAAGCACCAAGAATACTTGTTCTCCTATCTGAAACTATAACAAGATCTGGAAAATCACCTGTTATATTTTTCAACTTTTTAAAGAAGAAAGTCTAAGAAAATGTTCTCGGAGTCTGCTATTGCCTAAGTGGATAAATTTGAAGATTTGCATTCTGACATGTTGTAATGAGCAAAGTACCACGATATCTCCCCGTCAAGAATGTCCCATCCACAGATATTATTCTTCTGATAGAAGAGTGGAATCTACGAATGCACGGCCCTAAAGCTCTGGATTCCGCTCTTCTATCAGAAGAGTAATATCTGTGGATGAGACATTCTTGACGGGGAGATATTGTGGTACTTTGCTCATTGCAACATGTCAGAATGCAAATCTTCAAATTTATCCACTTACTTGGGCAAATAGTAGACTCCGAGAACATTCTTTCTTGGACTGTCTTCTTTGAAAAGTTGAAAGATATAACAGGTGATTCTCCAGATCTTGTTATTGTTTCAGATAAGGGAACAAGTATTCCTGGTGCTTTTGATAAAGTGTTTCAACATGCACACCATGGATATTGTAACTATCACTTGGTGAGAAACCTAAAATTTGAGTTTCTAAGGTTGGAATTAGATCCATTGTTTTGGGCAACAGTCGAAGCATACAGTACCTTATTTCGAATACAACATGGTAGCATTACGCAATAAGCATGAGAAAATGCGGGCATACCTAGAGAACGTTGATTTGCACCGTTGGGCTAGAACACATTTTAGAGCAACTCGTTTCAACATAATGACAACAAACAATGTTGAATCGTTAAACTCTGTTCTAAAGCATGCTCGATAATTTTCTATCATTTGTCTAATTGAACATATCAGAGCGACATTGCAAAAGTGGTTCCACGAAAGACATCCTAATTCTACAAAATGCAGTAGCTTTCTTACCCCCACCATTTGAGCAGAGGATGCGCAACAGATATGACGAGTCTAATTGATTAGAAGTGGTCCATGTAACTCCGATGATTTTGCAAGTTGGTGGAAGATATGTAGTTGATCTCGAGGAAGGGTTATGCACATGTCGAAAGTTTGAAATTGATCAATTTCCATGTGCACATGCCATTGCCGCAATAAGATTTGTGAATGACGACTACAAATTTTGCACTATGATGTATTCGAGTTCTTGTTGGAGAGAGTCATACTCTGAACCCATTCACCCTTTGCCTTATGAGACCGATTGGATGGTTCCAGAACAAATTATGTGAAGAATCGTGTTGTCGCCACTATCACGACGTCCAAGGGGCAGACCTACATTCGAACGGAAAAATCAGCAGGTGAGCCTCGAACAAAATAAACTACTAAACCTTGTCAAATGTAGTAGGTGTTCAAATTAAAGTCGGCCATAATCGTGTGAGGAGATTAACCTCAATCAAACGACTTGAAGTTATATTTTGAGTAGTGTTTTCCAATGCAATCAAGTGAGTTGAAGTTATGATTAGACTTTTGTATTGTTTTTTATGTTCTTTCCAATGCAATGAAGCAAGTTGTTAAATCTTGAAGTTATATTTTGATTTGTGTAATTTTTTTTTTTTTTTTTTNTGATGTGTTCTCATTAGCATCGGTACCACAACTCGAATGAGCTTCAGCTCTTTATCAAATTGTGGCTTCCGCATAACACTTGTTGAACTATCATATGCGTAAATGCATGTGCCGGAAAGATCAATCTCGAGTGCTAGCCAATGGTCATTGTTCTCATTGCAAAAAGGAACATATAATTTAGTACAACAAGTTCACGGTTTTCAATCAGTGGGTACGATCCCTCTGGCGTAATTATCTAAGGGCTTTAGATAATTTTTATCAAAGCTTTGAGTCTTTGACCTCTCTCTAAACAGCATTCTCAAATAAGAGACGAAATGCAAGTTCAAGATGGCAAAATCTTCTCTAAACAAGAGAGGGAACTCTATAGCATGCTCTCGAATGTGAAAACGGGCTGTATCTACATGCTAAGAGTATAATGTTTATTAGATTAGTAAATATCATGTTTAGAGGAGTAAAATATCGAATAAATTTTTGTAAATAGTTTACCTCACAAGAAAGCCATTCACCGTTCAAAAGTTTATCAAAAAATTCTTTCCGTGCTATACCCCAAGATAAGTCAACTTCAGCACTACATAAAAAATCAGTTCATTAAACAAAGACAACCTTATGTATTACAATAAGTAGCCCACAATTAACTTAACACAAATACATACCTTTCAGGGGAGCTCTGGCCAGAGCTCCCCTTTTCTCGCCGGCGCTTCTCTTCAAAATTGGAGTCGATTGCCTTCCTCAGCGTCGTCGGGCTCTGGCCAGAGGACCCCTCTGACTCCTCGGCTTACCCCTGATGTCGCTCTCTCCCGATTTCGTCCTTATCGACCTGCAATTGGAATCCTGGCCTCGGTCATCGGCGAGTTTTTTAGCGATAGTCTGCCCCTTGGTCTCCAACTGGTCCGTGATTGGTGGTTCTCCCTTGGTCATCGGAGGGATGGTGATTGGTGGAGGTATGACTATTGATTCTTTTGGTCCGTGCTTAGAGGCGTCTCCTCGGTCGACCTTCTCCTTTCCGGCGAGGCTTACGGAGAGATTGGGATCTCTGGTTGCTGGCGTGGCAGGGATGGTGTTGGGGGAGGTGCGGGTCAGCGGGTGGGGCTGGGATCCGTCTGCTGTGACGCATTATGTCGGGGTAGTCGGAGTCGAGGAACTGTATTGCTCCCACCCTCTCGCTTTTCTCTGGTGTTGGGAACGAGGTGCTTTGGTGCTACCGGGCCCGGCTAGTGGTGTTAGACGTGTTTCTGGTGGTGCTGGTGTGGGGAGTCTGTTTGCTGTTCCTCGAGATTGGAGGTGGGTCGTTTGGGGATTGGTTTGGTGTTCGGGTTCGGCTGCTTGTATAGGCCGATTGGCAGTTTCGGTGGCTGTTCATGGGCTTTTGGATCTCTCCCTGAAATTGATGGTTCATCCACTGGTTCGACTCAGATGTTCTGCTGGGGAAGGGCTTAGTTTGTTCCTTGTTTAGGCTTTTAGTTTATTTTATTTGGTGTTTTTGTATTCTTGTTATCTATATTTGTGTCTTGGTTTGGATTAGTCTGTTTGTGTCTGTCTTGTATTTTAGGTTTGGGTCACTTGACCCCTGTGGAAGGGATTACTCCGTTGGAGTCGTCCCACATTACCTCGTTGGGGGTCGTTCCACATTACCTCGTTTGGGGTCGTTCCGCATTTAGGTCGTTGGTGTTGTGTCATTCTGAGTTTTTTTCTAGCGTTGCTAGTCGTCTCTAGGCGGTCTTTTAGACCTGTCCTCCCAGTTTTATTCAGCTGTTGGCTGTATTATTCAGCCATGGGCTGTGTACTTTGCACATTTGTGCGTTTTTGTTATATAATATCTTCTATCGTTTCGTAAAAAAAAACAAAAAAAAAAAGGGGGAGCTCGATTACCACGTATTTAGATCTTCAAATTTAGTTGGATCCACTGGCCTATAAAGGTCGTACTCCGTCACAGTTGGAAATTTTTTTATTTTTTCAAGATTCCTCCCAGAGTAAGTAGAACGGCGGTCTTTCTTTTCTTTCGGTGCCCTCTTCCCTTAGGAGACCCAAGTGCATCATCTTAAACGGTTTTCTCGATCTCCATAGATGTCGAGAGTTGTCTTTCTTGGAACGCAACGATGGCTGATGACGAGTTGGTCACAACACCTATAATAAGCAAGAAAACAATCAATACTCATTTATTTACAAATATGTACTATTAAATTACGTATAATTACAATTATATTTATATTGTATTAAATTCATGTTCATTCTTGTCAGATATTATTGGTGAGACATCCTCCTCAGAAGAATAGTCTTCAACCAAGACAACATCACCTTTGGCCCTCATCTCCAAGCTCTCGTCATCATGAAGTTCAACCATTTCTTTCTCGGGCATGGGTGATGAATTGATCGTGTCTGCAAAAGAGAAAAAAATTAAGTAATTTGCATTTATTTTAAAATATATCTTTAACTATAAAAAAAATATTTCAATAACTTGTTGTATTTATTTTAACTAATACTTGAGTAATAACATTAATATGATGCATTGATTTTAAAAAACTACCTTCAACACTTTCAACGCAATCTACTTTCGAGCGGTCTCCATATCCCGCACATTATCCTTAGCATCAATCTCTTGATCAACATTTGTCCCGTCATAAGTAGCATGGGTAAATGGACTATCTTTTGCTGGAAAAACTACATTTTTTATTAAAATTTGTTCATCTTCATCTCCATTTGCTACGAAAATATTCTCATGTCGTTCTTCACGACTTCCCTCACTATAGTTGCAATCTTTTCAACATCCAAAACTTACGGTTGTGGTGGATCAGATTGAGATGCAATCAAATTTCGTTAAAATATTTTTTAAAAGGAAAAAAAAAATGCTCTGAGCAAGCCTTTCTTTTCTTTGTTCTAGTATTTATACCATTTTTTGATTGAAATTTTCAGGTAGAGATACCTTTAGCTCCTATTCTCCCCTATGCCGAGGATGTGTTTGATGGTCGACACTGTCATTCAAGTTTCAGAAGGGTAATTTTGTTGAAATTATTTTTATTATTTTAATTTATTTGTTTTTATATATTTATTAGCTTGCATACGTGGTTTGGTTGGTTGGTTAGTGAGATGCTGCCCACATGGAGATTCCTTTTTATTTTGAAATACCCTGTGTTTCTTTTGCCTCTCTTATTCTTCTCGTTTTGCAGTTAGATGTTGTCATTGATATGACTAGCATACTAGATAAGCAGCCACATTTTAGGCAACTCGTGGTAGATATTTTCAATCCCTTAAGCTTGCTGGTAAAGATAGTAAGGATGGTGAACAAGTAGTAGCAACTCTTGGTGCACAAGTGAGAAAGTTGTTTGGAAGTCCCGAGTTTATAAAGGCATTTGTTGACACACATGAGGAGATATTCTATAGAATCTGTTTTCGCATGAGGGACTAATATGTTCATTCCAAGCTAGTAGATATACGATTCCTATTCTCATAATAATTTTGTAGGATCCTATGATGTTAGCATACATTAACACGTTCTCATTGGATGAAAATGACCAAGTACAAATGGAATATCTGAAGAGTGATGCCTTGTTTGGATTCTTTTTGGCAGAGGTACAAGACTTTTTTCATATGAGGTTTTAATTTTGTACTTACCACTGTGAATTGGATTTATTGATCATTAACTATTCATTTACATAATACTAATTACATATTATTGGATCAAATTACCACTGTGAACGGATGAGGCAAAAGACGCTTGAGTTGATCGAGAAGATGAGGGTGGAAGAGGAGGTGGAGATGGATGCAACGAGTGATTTGTTGTGGGAGCTTTGTTTACAAGCTAAAGTTCAAAAGGAGTGAGTGAAAGTTGGTGGAGCTTCGACGTTGTGCTATATCTTTTATTAGGTTAAATATATGTTGGGTTTATGTTTGGCATTGATTCTCTATTCAAAGTGAGATCCATTGGTTCAGCGAGATCAATTTGGACTCGGTTGAAAAACTTCAACTTCCATGTTACAAACAGAGTCCTATCTGACCGCCCATCAAGCGACTTTCCCAACTTTGATGATGTATATAGTCATGTTTCAATTTCTTTATAGAGTGTTGCCTTCTTTGCATTGATTTTTTATTTCTGGCTGCTTCACTTTTTTGAGAAACTGGCCCGCAATCAACCATTATCACAATCGAGCATTATCACACATATATTTCAACTTAATCTTTGCGCACTTGTTTGTCGATGAATTTCATAAATGCTAGGATGATGTTGGATGTCGATTTTTGTGTGGAGGTTCAGAGAAAGGGGAGTGGTGAGGCATATAAGAGAGACAAGATAGCAAACGTGATAAATGAAGTAATTGTGGAGAAAACAAAAGATTGACTAAAGGGAAGGGCACTTAATTTGTGCTATCAATGTACTAAACTCTAGGGTTATCCACCATGATGGTTCAAACACTTACACTAGCGTGGACACTAACGTAATTACTTTATTAGATTAACAAAGTAATTAACGAGACACAATATGTGAACTAAGGTACAACACTTCACTTAAGATCAAAATATCCCAACTATTTTATTAATACACTCTCTCACTCTTCAAATACATGACACTCTCAAATTTTCCTCTTAGAGCACCAACAATGCATTGGGTCTCTTAATAAAATATCATATGACACATAAGAAATAGACTTAGTCTATTAAAAAATTTCTTCCAATGCAATTAAAAGTTGGCATAGTCTAGCTTATGTGGCAATAAAAAAAAAGAGACCAAGTCCACACTTGGGTTTATTTTGGACCCAAGTACAAACCCAAACACTCATAATTTATTCATAATTTAAATTTTCTTTTAATAAAAGAAACATATTAGAACATTTTTATTGGTTGGCATGTATGCTAGACCTAGTATTTTATTTTTGCATTGAATAGCTTTTGAGTTTTTTTACTTGGGTTTGTCCATGTCATTTAGGACTTAAGTCTATTTATATGTCACATATGTAAAATTAGACCCAATGCATTGTGGGTGTTCCTAGATGCTTTGATACTTTGTCGGTCTCCTTTATTTATAGCCACCACCTCCTCTAAGGCATCCCGTCTAGGTTTTTAACCGTAGTTACATCAAGTAGATTAGTGTAGATAGATAATCTACGGTTAAAATTCTCGAAGGAATGGTTCCGTAACAGTACTATAGTAAGGACTATAGTATTTCTCCTCGAAGATATAGTACAACTATGAAGCCCCTCCAACTTCACTCACTCCTCGTGAACTTTTTGTTTGTAAACAAAGCTCCCACAACAACTCACTCGTTGCATCCATCTCCACCTCTTCTTCACCCTCATCTTCTCGCTCAACTCAAGCGCCCTTCCCCTCATCTGTTCTCCCGTTTTCTCCACAATCACTTCATTTATCGCCTTCGCTATCTCTTCTCCCTTATACACCTCACCATTCCCTTTCCTCTCGACCTCCACACAAACACCGGCATCCACCATCATCTTAACATCTATGAACATGTTAAGCTTCATCGGCATGCCTATGACGGGCACCCCATAGTACACGCTCTCCATCAACGAGCTCCACCCGCAGTGGCTCACGAACCCTCCCGTGCTACGGTGCGCCAGCACATCCGCCTGCGGGGCCCACCCGACCACGACCATCCCCCTTTCCCCCACCCTCCCGAGGAACCCTTCCGGAAGGGCCTCTTCAAGGGGAATCGACCCTTCGGCCGGGAACCGAACCACCCACACGAAGCTTGCATGGCAAGACTCGAGCCCCCTCGCTATCTCTGCCATCTCTTCCTTGGATGGGAAGCACTCGCTGCCAAACGAGACGTACATGGTCGAGCGCGGGCCCTTCCCGTCCAGCCACCGTAGAATCTCTGAGCTTCCCGAGATGACGGTGGCGGCAAGCGGGCCCACGGTTCGGAGTTTCTTCCGGAAGGCTCCAGAGAGGTAGTCGATGTACTTCCCCTCCAACGCACGGCACGTCTTCATCAGGACAACACCGGACGACAGCTCGAAGTTGATGAAAGGGTTCCGGTCCTCGAAAAAGATGTTGTCCTTTAGAAACTCGGTGAACGAGTCCATGCTCTCCTTCGCGTGGTCGGCCAGATGGAGTTCCGGGAAAGGAAAGGTTTGTTCGGTGGAGTAGTAGTGGTGGTAGACGTAGGATGTGGTGGCAGTCCCAAGGGGGAGGAAATGGAATGCCGGGATGTTCTTGGACGAAGCGATTCAGATGGCCCACGGTTCGAAAGCGTCATAGATTACGAGGTCGGGATTTAGCGTGCCGACGATGTGTGAAAAGTCGAGTTGCGATGTCTAAACAGTTTGAGGAGAGCGGAGACGAGGTTCGAGGGAAGATTTTTGGTGGTTTGGTGGTGCGGGGGAAGATCCGGCGATGGCTGCAAATGGAGTTCGACCAAGTCTATGGAGTGTTGAAGAGAGTTTTTGAGAATGAAGTCTTGGATTGAGGGGAAATTGACGATGATTGTGCAGAGGTGGATGTGGAAGTTTTTTCTGCTGAGGAGTCTTTTGGCTAGCTCGAGATAAGGGAATATATGGCCATGAGCTAGCCATGGGAACATGAGGATTTTCAAAGTGCCTGTGCTTGAATCCATTTTTGGTGAGAGATCTTGATGCAAGCTTTGCAATTTTTTATTTTTTGGTTCTGTTATTCAAAAACTGTCTGAGATTTATTTGCTTGGTTCTAGGATATATGAAAATGAGTGGTCACTGGTGAGTGGGAATAGTTACAATGTGGCTCACGTGGAACATGGTCTTATTGCGGCAGGGCTATCGGCCGCGACGATTGTACCGACGGCAGGGCTGTCGGCCGCGATGGCTGTACCGACTACGTGGCTATCCGTTGCGGTCAACATTTGTGTGTGAACTGTGTGTGTGTGTGAACTGTGTGTACGTGAAGAAGAAATGTGTGGGTGTTTGTGAGATAGGTATTATTTATTGTGGGACCTACAAATTGGGTGGGTGAATGGTAATTATTAGAAATGTCTGGATTACCTATGTATACATATTTACGAAATTTCCCCGACACGTTTGACTGTCATATTTATATTTTGACTAGATCATAATTATTGATATGTTGGATTCAATGGTACAAATTTATTCTCATTTATTTCATTATTTACCATTCTCATCGGATCTAATATATATATATATATAGGGGTTGGTTCAAATAAAATCCAGCCTTGGTGTGAGAACCGTGATAACTATATTTGATGTTATTTTTAACTGTGTATGATGCTATTTTTAATATTACATGATGCTATCATTTTTACAAATGATAATATCAATTGTGTTGCTATTTTTAACAAATATATCTTGGTTAAAAATAACACTAAAACATACTCAATCATAGCACTTCATACAATTAAAATAGCAGGTTTTCACGGTTCTCACACTATAACTTGGTTCTCATTTGAACCACATCCTATATATATATATGTATATATATATATATATATATGATGTTGTTCAAATGAGAACCAAGTCTTAGCGTGAAAACTGTGAGAACCGCTATTTTTAATTGTTCGAAGTGCTATAATTTATTGTGTTTTCGTATTATTTTTAACTAGTATGTATTTTATTAAAACTATCTAACACAATTTATATTAAGATTTGTGAAAATGAAAGAATCATGTAATACAAAAAACATCATACACAATTACAAATAACATCAAATATGGTTCTCACGGTTCTCACACCAGGACTAGTTTTTACAAATACATCATATATATATATATATGGTCACGCTCCGGTGAGAATGATGCTCAATGAAGAAAATAAGAATAAATCTTAGCCATCATATCGGATGATCCAATAGCTAAAAAAGAAACCCAAATTTTAAACACATTAAGGGCAGTATGATAATATTCGCGGGCCCCACCCAACACTAACTTACCCTACCCAATTCAAAACCCACCTAATCACCAGTGGGACCCATCCACTCACTTCTTTCACGCACAACATATACACACACACCCAACCACTATCTACACTCACACTCACACGCACTGACAGGCGTATCTGAACCGTCCGTTACCCATGTCCGTCACCGCCGTCGTCATTACTGCACCTTACGGTCGGCAGGGGCCACACCGACATCGTCAGAGAGCTCCTCATGTCCATCGTTGCGGTTGCGGTTGAAACTAAGGCCTGAGCTCGCCGACAAGCCCGACGTGATCGATCGTACGACGCCCCTGCACCTGGCGGCCGGCAGTAGTCACACCAAGGTTGTCAGAGAGCCCCTCGTGGCCGGCGTGGCGGTCGAGCGGGAGATGGCCTTGCCAGAGGTGAAAACAAATTAGATAATAACCTGCGAGTTGAGATTCAGGATTTAGAGGTTTCATTATTTTTTTGGAAAATTAGATAATAGTTAGGGACATATTTGCAATTTCATAAAATTTTATTGTTTTTCAATTTTGTTCATGGGAATATATAATTTATTCCATTATTTTAATAAATGCATATTAATCATAAGTAAAATGCACAATACTTAAAAATTTTAATATGTTATTTATGGATATGCATATTAAAAATTACATATATTGCAGGCTGCACAATATTTATACACTAAATGCACATTAACGATTTTGAGAATGCACATTTTTGTAACACAATGGCCCGTGTGGA